TTCGTGGGAGGCGAGCGCTTGTCCTTTTGTTTGCTTCCCTTCTAAGGTGGCGTGCGGGGACGGGTCCACGTTTAATCGCCTCTGCTTAGTTGCACTCAGTCGTCGCTGACCGTTGCACTCGGCCCAAATAACATGTGCCGTATCAACGACGTAACCCCTTATTGACTGCGGCGAATGACGGACCTTGGTCTAGCGTCGCAGTGCAAGGTCGGTTTCTCGTTCTTCAAGGCATTTGCTCGACTTCTTTTTCAGTTCTTCTGGCTCCTTCTCGCAGTGATCGCCCGCTCCTACCTGCATGGAAAGGTTCTTCTGTTTTGGAATTGACAGCTTTGATGCTTTTGTCAGCCTCTTGCCTTTCGCAAGCGTAACGCTTCCTGCCCCGTGTTCATCACTGGAACGCAAATAGTACCTCTGGACCGCCTACAGATGTCTCTGTGTCGCCAGTTTTCTAGGAGTACTGTCCCCATAGACCGCACATGGTAGCTTCCAAAACAAAAAAATATGGTTGTCCCCTTCGCAATCGTTGTGCACTCTTTCACTATCATTACTTTGATGACTCCGGTTCGTGCTCCATAATTGGCGACTACAAAGTACTTCATCCTGGCCTTCATCAGGATCTAAATTTTGCCATCCTTCTACTGAAACCGTGTGTTTCAAGAGTTCGTCACGTCTGTTGCTTGGGTCGGCCTCCACGGTGATTAGCTTATCTTTCGTTTCGCTACCAACTTAAGTTCGTTGCCCTCTTCACCTGCGAGTCTGCCATTCAATCCATCCGTGATCATGTCACTTGGAAGGATTTCCATCCCCGCTACTTGTCAAAAGTGTCTCCTGACCTTCCACGCTGGCCTCCAGCTTGACTCCGTAGGCGGGTATGACAACACCGTTATTTGCATATCGCAGTGCACCGTTATGCCACGCTTTTCTTTGGCAATGTTTTTAAACCAGGCCCCCTCCTAATTCCATTTACAGTAGACCCAGGATCAATAATTGCATCAATCTGGTTCAACCTGACAACTTGCGCCATCGTCCGAATCAGAGGATCTGTAACTTTCTTCACTAATGACACCTCTGCCTCGTCGAGGTGGTGCTCTCGTTTCCCCACTGTTTCTTGAGATTCATCGGGCAATCCCGCGCAAATTCCCCTCTCGCATACATCTTTAACGTCTTACCTGGGCTTACGTTTTCGACTTGCGTGGTTGGATAACCTCCGTCTCATTTCGTTGTTGATTCACCCTTTCGGTTGGTCGAGTCCTTTCTCTATGATCCATCCGCTGGCTTATGACCGCCATCGCATTCACCAAACTGTCTAGGACATCTGGGTACATTCTAAGCTCCTCTTCGGAGAATTACAGTTAAGGGCTTTGTCGTCATGGATTCGTCTCACAACTGGAACCTAGTGATCTTTACGCTCCTCTAGCGTTTGCAGGATAGGTAACAGGCCTGCGACCTTGCAAGGGTTCGAGCGACCACAGCCTCTGCTTGGTCAGTGTTTACCAACCCCAACACTATATATCGGATCATTTTGTCCTCCTTTAGTGAAGCCGGGCTGTTCTCCAGCATCTGGAACTTTTCGTACACGGAGCTCGCCGCCATATCAAACGATGCTTGTTTTTGGGCTTCCAATCGAATTTGCCACACCATCTTTGATCATTCTACCGAAAACCCTTCCTAAGGAAGTCTGCCGCTCGCAGAAAGATCCCGCTTTTATACCCTAGACGAAATGCCAAAATTTCACGGTCCCGCCGATGCATTGAGTTGTCAACCACAATTTGACATCAATATACAAACGCTACAATGACTGCCTTTTGCTGTACCAGGCACAGCCAAAAATGCACATTCTCGTAAAATCCTCTCAAGAACCGCGGAATGCTTTCCATTATTTCTTGCGCCGGCGCCCTGGTAACCACCCTCGCTACAGTACTTGCTGGTTAAGATCTTTCTGCTATCGAGCAAGGTCTCGAAGGCTGTTCATCGTCTCGACACCACTATCGGTCGGGATGGACTGATTCTTCAGAAGACGTGCCTCGAGCTTAGGCTTAAAAGCTTCCATACCCTCTTCTTCCGCTCCTTTCCCTCGAGTTCGTCGTAAATCTGCTAGTTCGGAAAGCTCATCTCACTTCCATCATTACTTAAAATGCAATCTTCCCGGGGGTTTTTAGGAAACAGGACATGTAATCTGGTTAGAAGGTTTTACTTACAAGCACAGCGCACCTACATATGAAAACAACTGCCTACACGAGACATCACAGCCTTCAGATCTACATCATAATCTTTTCGTTCCAGCACCGACTAGTCCTTTTATACGCCTGTGGATTCCTTGTTCATTCTCAGGGACCATTCCGCGTTGACCTGCTGGCTGTACTTCCGATGGAAAGTGCGTCTTTATCTTACGACGTGCGGAGGGCGAGCGCTCTTTCCTTTATTCGGCCTACATCCCCGGTCCTTTGTTGAAAACGAAAGCTTGCCCTTTTGTTCGCTTCACATCTAAGGTGACGTGCGAAGTTTCCATGTCCAATTGCCTCCCCTTCGCTACAGTCAGTCGTCGATGACCGTTACCGGAATAAAGCGTCATAATGAAGCCTCTTCGAAAAATCATTAGTATGATGAGGTTTCACAAGTTTCGCAGTACTGCAATCCGAGATACCCGTCGCTCTTCTAGATCAAGGGATCAAAATTGTAATAATTTGGATATTTAACAAACATTCAGAGAACTCGCAAGTTAAACTTTCTCGAAAACCTAACATGGAAAACGTTAGCTGGGAAAACCAGATGGCTCGATTATACAGAGAAACCTGTATAGTCAAGAACTTGAAACTCACCTGATTCACGTTGGATCAGGACTGTCGAAAAGGCCGGCATAAGGCAAAGCGGGCTGCTCATGTGACCTGGAAGACATACCTGACACTGAAAATGAATGACT